TTTGCCAATGGAAGAGGACAATTGATATTTAATAAGAAAAACAATGCATTGTCCTATTTCAAGTCCGTATTATCCAATCTTATTTTGAAGGAAAAGTCGCTCATATTCAGAATTCAAACTCCTGAAAGTTCTTTAAATCTGAAATGATTCCATCCTGTTCAATAAATGTTTTTAATTCAAAGTAATTTCTTGTGAATGTGCTTTACTGGAGGCATCCATGTTTGTCAAAGAACACTACTGCCACCTACTGGTTAGTGACATTGTCACGGTGCGGTATCGGCTGTTGATCAAGTCCCAGTGCTGTATCTGGTGTTTGTCACAACGCGCTATTATCCAAGTCATCTTGAAAACATTCTTCTTCCAAATGTTGGCTACATATTACGGGTTTTTTCTCTGGCCAGAAGTTCGATGGCAAATCCTCCCTCTTCAAGTTGGCGATCCAACGACCAACCCGTCCGTGGAGGATCAGGAATCAGAAAGGTGGAATAACTCTTTTTTTTCACTTTTACCCGATGTATTCCAGCATCCAGCTGCCATGCACGTGGGCATTGTCAGTTTCACTATAGCTCTGGTGAATTTCAATGGTGAAGTCCTCTGGAAATCTTCAATAATTGTTGTTGATTGCAGATGTGTCTAGTAGTTCCCATTGATTTAGCTTGGAAAGCGGGGAGAATGGCGCTAGGCTTACCGCACCGTGACGTCACTGCTGGAAGATGGCAGGAGGGAGGGGCTACTGTATTTGGCTAAAAATGGCCGCTCCCTGACTCAGTGATTGCAAGAAAATGATTGCTTTTATTTTTTTTTACTTATTAACACTAAATTCATTAAATCAGTGCAAACATTTTAGTTCAGGTAGAAAAACCAACCTTAAACAGAGGGGGGGGGGCTCAGATTCCAGCTTTCAAAAACCTAAAATGCAGCGATAGAGTTGATTCCTTCCTGCTATCATTGCAGCCCCAACCCTTTACAGGAGAACAGAAGACCTCTCCTATTCATCCAGGCCAACTATTCCCTCTAACGACCCCCCTTTCAGAGACACGTACAGGTATGGGGCATTGCAGGCTAACAAAGAAGCCAAACGACCCCCATTCCAAAGGGGGGGACCCGTTCATCCGTTTCTATTTGCATGTTTTCTAAACTAAAACCAGGCTTTGTTGGGCTGCTGGATAAAACCTGGAACTAAACGCTATTTCTGACATTTTGGATTGAAAAAGCTTCCTGGATGGAAGAGAAACGTCCTCAAACTTGGAAACAAAGTCCAGAGGATGGATATTTTACTTTTTTGGAATAAGTCTGACCTGGATGACTGAGAATCTTCACCAGCGTTAGTTTTAGGTATAAATAATGATCCATTAATTATTATTTTCCTTTAAGACAAAAAATATTTCATTTCATTTCATTGGGAGATCATCTTATTTATCTACATAAAATAACAGTAAATACAGTTGATTTCAGAAATGTTGACTTATTTGCAGATTGTTTTTTTCATGCAGTTATTTTAAATCCCACCACTAACTCGACTATCTTTACTTCTTAGTTTATCTTACTTGAAGAAAAAGGTTTTTAACCGAGGATTTCCTGTCAGTGCACACTTCCCCTGATTGTGTGATGATTGGATGATACCTTCAAAGCTTTCAGTGGAACCAGTGACTAATCTGGGTCCATCTTTCACACCAACCTTCTGCTCATGTCACCTTTGCACGGCTTTGCTCTGCTGCTTTAGGTGCCTTCCTGTCGTCTTCTGACTCATTGTTTTTCTCCACCCGTCTCTAAGTAGCTCTTCAGCTTTTTACCCAAAGGGCATTTTAAACTTTTTCAGCAGCTTTTTAAAGTTTCAGGTGATGTGAGAACACAGCAGGACCTAGTTTCCACCTGCAGGCGTCCTGCTCTGTGTGCTGCATGGTCTCCTCTGTTTAGCGGCGAGGCACTGAGGACAGGACGGAGCTGTGAGAAGGAGTGGGCGGTTTGAAAAGAGAGAATGGTGTCAGAGTGATTCTTTGGTAGGTTTTTAACCACTACAGGGTTAGTTCATCTGCAGCTTAGTGTTGCAGGAGCTCCTTCTCACAGGGAGGAGACTGGGAAGTATTAGCTGCCATGTTTGGTTGTGAAACATGTTAGCAGTGAAACTAGGCATTAACCGGCGACTCCAGCAGTCAGTTAGGTCATTAGGCCCGCTGAGAAGAAGTCGGTATCATTGTGTGAAGAGGAAGCAGATGGTAGAGCAGCAACTGCTCCGTTCCAGCATGGCTGCACAGACTCAGATGCACTGCAGAATATGGCGCCCCTTTTATTTAACACCTTCTGTGTTTTTAACTGCCTGATTGATTTCAGGGTTTAGCTCCAGAGGGAAGATTGAAATTAAGTCGAAATTTCCTCCAGTTATCCAGTAAACGTTTGCGAGGGAGGAGGTCGTATGGTGATCTTTCTGGTCCGGCCTTGCCATGGAAAATACGTCAACAATCGGTTGACAGGATGAGGAATGAAAGCTTGGATCTCTGCGTCAGAGTCGGCCATTAAAATGGGAGATTAAGCCGTTCAGCTTTTAGCTGCTCTTTGGATTTTTAGAACAACTTAAAATCCCACAGTAGCCAAATTATTTTATTTACATGGTTCAGGTCCACTGAACCAGGAAGAGAACTAAAACTTCAGGTTACTGGTTCTGATGACTGACTCCAGACACTCAACAAGCCTTCAGCGGTTCAATAAAGAAACAAAAGCCTTCTTTACAGCCTGGACAAATTCTCCACAACTGGAGAGTCGGCCCTAAAAGATAAAAAAAAATCAGCGTATGCTCAGCCTTTAATCTAAAGGAGAAAGAGTCAGTCTGGAGTCGCACATCGCGTTTATAGTGAGCAGGACGGACTGGAGCAAAAACAAAGAATGAAACATTAAAATAGAAACTTTCCCCATGATGGAAGTTCAGGAGGACAGAAACGGATAAAGTAGTGATCCTCTTTGAGCCTCACAGAAACCAGAATAAGGAGGAGCAGACAGAGCAGGTCAGCGCAGCGTATCTCTCTCACCTCTTTGTGGAAAAAAGAAAGAAAAACTTCCCAGATCTCTCTGAGGATCACCTCTCTGCCTCAGTCACCATGGAAACCGTCCCACAGAGTTTATTGCTGCCATTTTCTTTTATTTAGCGAAGATCTCATTATGTTTTTAATAGATGAACATTCTCTATCTGTTCTGGTTCTAGATGCTAAACAGACTCGTATAGTAGAGCTATGCTATATAGAATGCAGCGCTGGTTTTTTAAATGTATTTATGTTTTATAACTTATCATAATCTGTCCAAGTAAATTTGTTTTAATGTGTATAACGGAGACAGAAGTCAAACTAAATCTGCACAGATCTGCTCAGCCTGCCTAGTTGGAGCTTCTCTATGTGTGACATGGAAAAAAATTGTATTTGAGAATTAAAAGTCGTACCAAGCGGTGTGTTCAGGGTAGGGACTGGAGGTGGGTATTGGCAAAGAAGTCATGATTCGATTCGAATCACGATTCACATACCACGATGAGATTCTATCACGATGCATCACGATAGTTGAAATATTGCGATGCATCGCGATGCATTGCGATATTTTCACTGAACACTGTAAGAAAAAGATCCAGCCCTTACCAGTGGCTGACTGGCTGGGTGTGATCTGGATCGTGTCTTCAAATGATACATAACTGAAAGCAACTGAATTCATACATAGCTGTATTTATGGAAACGACTTTTGGAGGTGTTGCCATGGAAACAAATACTGGACAGAAATATTCCTATTACTAGCAGTGGACACATTGACAAAAAGATCTTAGGATTCATCAAACTTAAAATAACAAAATAAGGATAATCAGTACGTTTACATGGCCTCAGTGGTCCTTTAAACCAATGAAACGAAAACATGCAAATGTATATTTTCCCTTTTGGAAATGACGAGCATCATATCAATTTTGTTTTTACCTTCTTTGTTTTTAATTCCAAAATGCATCCAAGCATCTGACTTGAAATGTGATGGAGCCGCGGGGCGAATTTTCATGTCCTCCATGTTTTATTTCATGTGACTCGTCTCAGTATCCCGCGGCCGGACATGCTTGTGACACAAAGCAGCGGGCGTCAACACATCCGCAGCGACACCTGCTGGACTGGAAGTTGTATTCCACTTGGTTTGGCTGATGTGCGCCAACCATTCATGTATTTTATTTGTTCATTTTTTTATTTTATTTTTTTAATAATCGATTCTTGCCTTCAAGAATCGATGCAGTAGATCACAAAAATTAGAATCTCGATGCATCGTCATGATGATTATTTTGCACACCCTTAGTAGAGACTGACATTTTTTCGGGATTCCCGTGGGATTCCCGTGGGATGGGAGTCAGTATTAGTAACGATCACGTGATTGGGACGGTACAGGATTAAACATTAACGGGAGCAGACGGGAGCGGGAGCAAACCAATAGTAACTAAAAAAAAACTAGGATTGATGCCAAAAAATAAAATAGAAAGAAAAGAACCCCAGTACTGGCGCCGCCATTTTGTAGTTTTTTTCCTTGAAGACTACACTATAATGCGAGTCAAAAAAACTACACGACCCAAAAACCAACAGTGCTTCCGCTCTGAGTTTTTCACCCACGCTCAAAAACAACAAATTCAGATTCAGTGTATGGGCAGAAATCTTATTGAAGACAACAAGAATGGGAGGGGTGCAGGAGGGGGAGTCATTCTGAATGGGAGCGGGAGTAATTTCACCAGGAGTGGGACGGGACAGGATTTAGATTTATACTCTGGCCCGGGATCGGGACGGGACACAATTTCTGAGGAAGAGGGAGAACTTTGCCTGAAAATATCGGACTGACGGTGGATCCTCCTCAAGGTCTCTGTTAAAGTTACTGGTAGCATTTAGCTGGGTGCTGTTCACTGACTGGTTAAAAAATCTGATTTTTCAGCTATAGAAGACTGATTTCTGTTTCAGGGATCAGTCCGTTGCTTCTAAACTGCTCTTTTGGTTGTACCTCCACAGGCCTGATGGAGCTGTGGACTCGACACCTGCTGTGGACCAAGGAGCTTCATCCAGGCTGGCTTCCAAGCAGACGGCTGTAGAGGGCGGGAGCCTTCACTACCCTTCAGTTCTTTGCTCTCCGCCTCTTTCCCTAAGCGGCCCCTGAAGGTGCTATCGTCGTGTCAGAGATCTGAGTTATGATCGGAAAGCTGAAACACAACCTGCTGCTGGCCTGTCTGGTCATGAGCTCCGTCACCGTCTTCTACCTTGGCAGGCATGCCATGGAGTGTCACCATCATTTTGAGGAGCGCAGCCACCCAGTCCTGCCTCTGTCCACGCTGCGGACGGGCCACAACCTCAGCACACCTTTCGTCTACAGCAAAGACATGCCGCTGATCTTCATAGGCGGCGTGCCGCGGAGCGGGACCACGCTGATGAGGGCCATGCTGGATGCGCACCCCGAGGTGCGCTGCGGGGAGGAGACTCGCGTCATCCCGCGTATCCTGGCCATGAAGCAGATGTGGAGCCGTTCGGGGCGGGAGAAGATGCGGCTGGATGAGGCGGGTGTGACGGACGAGGTGCTGGACGCCGCCATGCAGGCCTTCCTGCTGGAGATCATCGTCAAACACGGCGAGCCGGCCAGGTTCCTTTGCAATAAGGACCCCTTTGCGCTCAAGTCGCTGTCCTACCTGGCCAAGATTTTTCCACGTGCCAAGTTTGTGCTGATGATTCGTGACGGGAGGGCGTCGGTTCATTCCATGATCTCCCGGAAGGTGACCATTGCAGGCTTTGACCTGGGCAGCTACCGGGACTGCCTGACCAAGTGGAACCGAGCCATAGAAACCATGTACACTCAGTGCTTGGAGGCGGCCGACAAATGCCTGCCCGTGCACTATGAACAGCTGGTCCTCCATCCTGAAAAATGGATGCGGACGCTGCTGAAATTTCTGGACGTTCCGTGGAATGACGCCGTCCTTCGCCACGAGGAGCTCATTGGGAAAGCAGGAGGAGTTTCCCTTTCCAAGTAAGTCCTTCCAGTCTGCTTTACCTCTTCCTGTGATGAAGAGTAGCTCTGATGTCACGCTGTGCAATAATACTGTGTGTGCAAATGAGTTAAAGGAGGATATTTGTTTTCCTGGCCAATGGCAAATAGAAAGGAGTTGGTCTAGAGCAGGTTTATGGTGTGTGATGCAGAGCATGGAGCGAGCGGTGGAGCGGACCGAAGGAAATATGATGGAACGCAGAGCGATTTAATTACACATTTTTTGAGAATGCATCGCATACATGAATTGTGTGCTATTATCTCATTTGCAATGGGATGCGAAGCAGGGGTTGATGTTAAGGAAGTGACTTTCACATTTAATTTGCCCAGAAACAATTGTTACTTGCCCAGTATAATGTTTGATAAATATAGTTCCTAATATTCATTTTTGTATATATATCAATGAAACATATTTGTTTTTAAATGTTTTTTGTAATTCAGTAAGTTTCCAGGTTCCTGGTGTGTATCTGCATGCGTCAGATAATGAACTCCAGCCTACATTACCGTGTTAACATGGTTTTCAATCCTTCCTGCTCATTCTTTTCAAACTAAACTTTGCATTAAACTGTTGTGTGCTTGGAAAAATATAAATTGTAATGTTAAAAATCTAAAAAAAAACTTGACAGGTAAAAAACTTAAGATAAATCACAGACAGAAGTCAATGTCACAAATGAATAACTTTTATTTTAGAGTCACGGTATGTTTATACAAGATAATACTATTAATATAATGTGGCTTTTCTAGAGAATCATTATAGATAGTTATTTTATTCAGGGTTTCCACAGTCTGACATCATTTCAGAATTCCCTGACTTTAACTGACTCAGGATTAGTTTTCCCTGACAGAATAAATGCAGCAACAAGACAATAATAATAACATAACAGGTCACCAATCTAACATGTTTAGCTCTATAACATTTAAATGCACCTCTCCAATGTCTAAGAGAAAAACATTTAATGAACATTTTTTAATGTCTGACTTGCATCACTCTACAGAAGACTGCCATATGATAGCCATATTTACACTGTGAGCATGGCGTACAATTATGCCAGTTTTCCTAAACACTGACCGATAACTTTTAATCTAGGGTTATCTGGGTGGAGGGTGAAATGGGTGGAGGGTGTGTTACTGTACATACATTTTTTTGCCTTGTTGTTGTTTCTTAGCCTGCCAAGTCGGAAAAAAATGTCTGATTCGCGCCAATTCCCGGACAAAAAATCACGCCATCTGCCGGAAAATCATGCGTTTTTTTCAAATCATGCAAGAATGTGTACAAAACAACAAAAATGGCGCCGGCAACACTTCTGGGTCGTTTTCATCGAATGTCAGTGATTTTAAATTAATTTTGAGTGATTAATAATAATATTTTTTTGCAATCATTGCACTTGCCCAGCGGGCAAATGCAATGAAATTTTGCCCCGGGATATCGGACGATGGTTAACATCGAGCCCTGCCAAGTGACCTTTCTTAATGTAGTCTAGTAGAATAAATGATTTTATCCGACTAGACTACATGACATTTACTAGAGGCGATTTTGAGCAGAGCGTCCTGGCGCAGCTTTGAGTGGCGGAGTGAATGAGCAAACATCCTCTTGAGCGGGAATTGCGCGGCACTCCGCTCCCTTCACATGCTCTGGCATGATGGTAGATAATCCTTTCTGTTCTCTATGTGGCCGGTCTAAATCACGCTATAAATGCTCCAAGTAATAAGAATCCAGAGAATTTCAGAGCATGCTGGTTGCCTCTGGCGCCTGTAGATCAGTCACCTGACCAAACCCAGCTGTGACGTCGGTGTAGCCAAAGGTACTCGGGCCGATGTATAGAACCACTACTTCATCGTTAATCTTAATCGTTAAATGTCACGCGGATTGTTGGAATGGTTCTGGATCGGGAAAAGGTATGTTTAATTATCCGAATTAGACAAAAAATCAGCCGGACAATCTTTGGCATCCAAACCGATACAGCAAATGATGTTTGGACGACATCACAGCAGATTCTTTCATCATCAATCCTGCTCTCAAAGCATCAGCTGGATTCAACAAACCAAAGTATCAACAGCTTGTTTTCTCTGTTGTATAGTTTTAATAAAGTGCCTGATGGCAATAAAGCTGATTGAAGGCGTTGGCCACTTTATATGAAATATTTCATTTCATAAAACAACGAACCCTAGATAGATTTCATATCATTATGGTCGGAGCTCCAGAACAACAAGAAGACTCTGATTGCTTCGGATTCATCAAATTACAGCTTTGATCTAATGTTGGTTTCTAATTTACAGGTTTTTAAACTGAGTCTGAGTTTTTATTTTTATTTGAAAGGATGCACACAACGGGAGACTTTTGATTATATAAATAATGCTGCTGATGCCCCATCATATGACCTTACAAGGCCTTACAGAAGACGGATCAATGCTCGACAATCAACAGCCTCCGTTTCAGACCTGATTTAGTTCCAGCGTCTGTAAATCAGAAACCACAATTAGTTTAGAGCTGGAATTTACCACTTAGGCCTCCGTCACACCTGTCTGATTTCTCCAGGATCTGCCTGACGTCCCAGAATCTCCTAAACTCTGGCAGACGCTGAACTTTCTATGGATTCTTTCTACTCTGGCCGTAAACATAGAGGATTTATAACGAGTCCAGAGCTTCTGTAGGGCCCTATAAAATCCGTTTTATTTTTTCCCAAATTCTGTTTTTTCAGTTTTAATTTTTGAAAATTCCGTTTTTTACCCTTTATTGTAATTTCAGTCGTAAAAAGAATGTGCTTTTAATGTTAATGATAAAAATGTACAGAAATAAAACAGGAATGACCTTAAATTTATTGAGGTAAAAAAACACATTTGCTCAGTACTTTTACTGCATGATGCAACATAACGCTGCACTAACAAAGTACTAACAAAATATTAATGGTTATGACCGCTTATAAATAAAAGTGCTCCATTAGCTTTTTCAATTGAAAAAATAAAATAGGACCTCTCAATGTTAGAATTATAAAGTATTTCATAAAGAATCATATTTTCTATACAGTACATTAAAGCGCATAAAAAAACAAGGCAAAATACAGCAAGTATGTCAGCAAGTGTTTCTCAACTTTTTCGCCGAAAGCGGAGCTGTGGAGAACCGCCTCGCCATTTTTTCAATGTTTGATGGGGGAGGGTGAGCGGGAGGGGTTGTGTCGCCCAGATTTGCTTCCCCCGTTGGTATTCCCCCCCCCCCCCCCCCCCCCCCCCCGACGTATGTTCTTCTCTGACACAAAAACAGAAGTTCATGTCAAATGTAAAAATTCCGCGTTTACACTAGATTCCGCATTAATTTGCCAATTCAAATACCACTTTCCCAAGCTCAGCAGGAATGAGCTGATGCTTGCCTACTTCCTCATGTTTTACATATGCTTCCTGCAGGGGAGAAGAAGAGCGCAGTGGCTGACAGCTGTGGGAGGAAAATGTGACCCTATTAGTTTAAAACCCCCAGAATTCCCGTCAATTTTATCTCTTTTGGAGGGAAAGCGTCCATCCAGGAGATCCTGGTCATTAGTAAGGATCAGTTGGGTTTCCTGATGGCCGGGCTGATGGCCGGGCTGATCGTGCTCGGAAAAGGGATCCAGTCCAACCTCCACCCCCCCACCCCCCCCCCCCCCCCCCACACCCCCCACACCCCACACCCACACACACACACTCTTCCAGCAGCACCCCCATTCTGCCACGTAGCTCCAGAAAAATACCACACATCCTTTAGAGACATTCGGTCTGCATTTTTATGGTCTGCAGATGAAAACAGCCATGGTTTTTATTAAAAACCACTCATCTGCCCCCCCCTCCTCTGTAATGCCCTGTCAAAATATGATGAGGGTGTTATGAGCTGTTGTTTGCAGGAAGTGGGCTTAAAGATGGAGATGAATGGTTGTGTTCTGTAAAACTCATCCCTTGATTTAGTGAAACGATGCAAATATTGATCTAAAATAAGGAAAACTCTCTTCAATTGTGTTTTCGTAAGATTATCTGTCAAAGGAATGACAGGATAAAATGACTCTACTTGAAATAAGAAAACGGATGTTTATTTTTCCTGTGCAAAAATCCATATATTGGCAGAACTTTTCTCTCAACAACTCAAATCATATCCAAATACACAAGAAAATCGCCAGTCCAGCGAGAGGAGGAGACTTTCTCTCGTAAATAGACAACATGAGCAGTAAATAAACCATCCTCCTGAACCTAACCTCTTTAAAGATGTCTGTTTTTGTTGAAACTTCTCAGAAAGGAGGATTCCTGGAAGCTAATTGTTCATTTATTGTTGGTTCTATGTTAAATCAATCAGCCCCTCAGGTTTTGTAGATTGATCTCAAACATATGATTACAGCAACTGTTGCTAAAGCTGTTTAATAAGCAACTTCCAGACGTATTGATCAGATATACCGACCTTTAAACTTCAAAAAGAGAATGCAGAACATTTATTTTAAGGTTCTGCAAAAACATCATCTAAAAAGGTTCCTGCAGGGTTCATGATTTCACTGAACATTTTATGTGCAAATAAAGAATTAAATATGTTTCTGTGTGAGTTTGCTCATTAAAATTCAGCCTATCAGCCTTATTTCAGTTTAATTTTGACAATTTTCAGGGTAACCAGCGGTTCTATTGAAACAGGCAGAACAATAAACACTTATTGGTCTTATTTCACGTAGCAAAAACCCTGCGAAAATATATTTTCTTCCTTTTGGATAAATGACAAATTTGATTGAAATGTTCTAACATGAATAAAATATTAGAGGTTGAATAGAGATGAAATGAAGCAGGATAAGGAGAAGGTGTCCCTATGTCCTCCAGCATCCTAAACATATAGCAGCGTTCATTCAGTGACTCTGTTTACATAAGAGTGAGAGCTATCAGTGGTCTGATATCTCTATTTAAGCTAACTCTTGGGTCAAAGGTCATATAGTGTTACGTTAACAAGGCAGATACAACAATTAAATATAAATATTACAACTTAA